TCGGCATCAAATCAGGTAAAAAAAACATCAAAATTCGCAGAAGCACCAAACCAGAATACGGTCTAACCAATCGTTAATTTAGAGACGAAGACAAAATACGGTTGGAGATGTTGAAGCCTAAGATGATGGAATACATAGACAGTAGGGATGACGAGGATGTCGAAGATGTGGTTCGTATAATCATACTCCACTTACTTACATTCTGTTTTTGTTCAACTTCCGGAGACCAAGTCAGCTGGTGGATGGTACTGCTGTGTGATGAACTCTACAAACTCTGTGATTACAATTGGGCAGGGTACATCGTCGAATTCCTGATGAAATATGTGCAGACAACAGAAGCATCATTAGTCTGTGGGTGCACAACACTATTGTTGGTATGTCCGCATAGTTGTATATACATTAACTCGTAATCAACTCTGCATAATAATATTTTGTTAGTGCACATACTTAACATGGATTTGTAAATATGCAAGCTCGTATATTGGTTTGAAACATAGTGTACATTCTATCCATATAGTATAGTACTGTAACCTTAGTAGTATATTCATTCTGTTTCAATAGTATATTTATATTGTCTTCATATGATATTTATATTGTCTTAATAGTATATTAATATCTAACATACAGTCCATTATTAACACTAGTTTGTTTCCTCAGTTCTGGATGTGCGAGAGGATAAATATCATTGAACCAATCGTTGCTGATGCTTTCCCAAGGTTCCAGAATGGAATTTGAAAACACTGGGGACAGCGCTGGAGCATAAAGCCATCAGAGACATCCACAACGATGAAGTGAACGAGTCAGCACTTACTCAAATAGAAGAAGAAACCGCGTTCTTCAATAAGGACTCATCTAGTGCGGAAAGAACCAGTAAAAGGAAAAGAAAATTTAAAAATAAGGAGCACAAGAAAGGCAAAACAGATGACACATGTACCAGTTCTGAAACCGGCGACAATGCTCAAAATATCAATGTCCCTGAAAAATTCATGAAGAAGTTACGTGAGAAGTACTAGTCGTCAGAAAATCGTCGTCTTTCCAAGCTTGCACTTCAGTACGAGACCGAATCCCATATACTGAGAGAGAAGAACAAACATCTGGAATACCTCTTGGCCAAATACGCACCAGCCGCAGAAGTGAGTCATGGGGAATCGGCCCAACCCATAGACCAAACTACAGAAGCCAAGTTAGCTGCCAAAACATTACGTTGCGCCGCACTCGAAGAACAGCTGACTGTTATGAAACAGTCGTACGAAGACTTAGAAGCAACAACAGCACTGTTGAAGCTACATGTAGAGGCATTGACCGCTGACAACAACAGCCACAAAAAGTCCAAAACAGGGCTCCCAAACTCCGGTGACGTACCTGATACTAAATTGCACGAATCCGCTGGTAAATCAAACACTTCCATGATGACAGGCTCGACTTCAAAAACTCCCACAGAAGACAATGTGCCATCTTTCCGATTGCTGTCACAAACGCAGCCTGACCCTAATGAAACAACAGCAGAGCGCGGTGATCCTTTACCTCTAACGTATGTTGATGAGACCGAGATACAGCTCGTTGATCTCATTACTGATGTAACATTGCTGAAAGACATCAATAAGGAGAAGAGTCAGACGATACTCCACCAAAGCTGAAGCACTATCTAGTACAAAAAAGACTAGCAATTGTCCTGTAATTTCAGCTGAACAAATGAATGTATCCTTCGAGATTGATGGGGGGCTCATGGACTCCAACAGCGAAGGCACATACAATGAATGTCATGAGGGCACAGTGGACAAATCTACTGACAAATTAATCTTACCGCATTCCAACACAGATCATGCCGAAGGCAACGAAAAAATACTCCCCATATCTAATAGAACACGGTCTAAGCGTCCTGCTATAACACCAACAACTGTATCCAAGGTTGTAAGGAAGTACAGGAAATTCAAAAACTATCGCAACATGTCAGAGAGTAACAGGTCTCTTCTAGACATCACTGTGGATGCTGCTGCGAACAAGGAATAGTAAGTTTCAAAAAAAATACTTTCGCCATATTTTGTTTAATACAATATAAGTATTTTGCCCCCCACTAAACATTTTATTTACACTCATTTGCCCACAGCACCAAAGTTTGGACAAGCCCAAATGGCAGAAAATTTGTGTGTGTGAAGGATTTGGTGCAGAGCCTTACGCATGGTGAACTCTCCTCACTTGTATGTCTACAATTATTCATTACTCCTGTTTTTTTTTCTGATATTGCACTTGTGCAAAACTTAGATATACATTGATGGCAATACTTCTACAAACAATTGACGCATATTGCGAGATCTTAATGATAAGACAATCCATGAGAGAGTTCAACAACATGAGAGAGTATTCTGAGTTGGAGGGAACGAGCTATGTTTTTCCATGCATGCTACTGGTAAGTGAATAATAGTAGGTATTACATTTACGCACTGATGACATCCTACATCTAATGTAATCACATTGAATCCGTACAGAGTGCAACGAGGAACCCAAAAAGACCGACACGTCCTTCCATCCTCCTGCAAACATAGATACATATCGCTATCTAGTGTTCCCGCTCCATTCTGATAGGAATCCCAACAAAGTGGCAGACCATTTCACCCTCGTTGTTTTCAATCGGTTAGAAGAGACCTGGAAGTTCTACAACTCGCTGTTGCCAAGGGAGAATATAACCGACAAGTACTTGGTCGATGCACATGATATGGTAAAACTCTTGACCAACACACCAGGTTCAAATAAAAATCATACGTAAATAATAACATTTGCCTTCCTACCATGACAACAGAAAACAGCAATGCAAGCTACAGCAAGTAGATACAACATCGACATCAATTTCAATTTCGACATTGAAGTCATTAAGGATTGCCCGCAACAAAACAATGGCCGCGACTGTGGTGTCCATGTATTGTACTGCATAAAGCAAATATTTCACCAACAACCCATAGACCCAAGCAGCGCAAGTGATGACTTGGTTAATATGCGCAGAGAAATCGTAGAGACTTTCTTGGAATGGGGTAACAAGAAATATGATGCATAGGCCAGTCAACCTTCTGATACTATGATATCAACTAATTTGTTGTATGCGTATGCCAGTCAAAACTTATTTTTGAATATTATGTGTAATATGATGTTTTCAGTATTAACTTATTCAAAATACTTATTTTTGAATTTGATGAAGTTATGAGCACATAGTATATTAAATGCATGCCAATAGTATATTATGTTGATAACAATAGTACTCAAATATATATAGTAGTGAATTGTACATCCTATATCACCAATTGTGTGCAACACTTAAAACACTCCAAAAACAAACATGTGATGAACAACATATTACTCCAATCCATGAAATAATCGCACGAAGATTATCATATGACATTAGTACACATAAAAAATTGATATAATAAATCGAACGTATTATTGATCGTCAGATGCTATGATAGTATATTAATGATTTCATTATAGTATATTGAATATGTTGTGATAGTATATTACGGTTCTTGTAGTAGTATGCACATGTCTTACAGACAATATATCAATATAATAGTACAAAAACCATATGTGAAGATAAAATAATAATAACGTTTAAAACAAAACTAACTTACAGTAATTCCAACATGATCAAATAAATATTTAAAATCACATCATAACACTTTAATAATATTAATTCAATATACTCTAGTACATTATTAATCACACCATAGTAAATTAAATTGATAATAGTAGTATCATACATTATTCATAATAGTAAACTAAATTTATTGCAAAGTTTAACACTGAACTAATTTTACATTGCCATTACTAAGTAATCACGGCGTTAATCAAGCATATCAATTCTTAGGGGGGTTTGGAAAATAACAACCGTCTGAATCAATTGAATTCACTGAGTTTATGTCCTCGTCGCTATCGTCTGGTATGCAATCCACTTCTTCATCAGACTGCGCAACGCCTGAATTCGCTGCACCACTTCCGCTGGCATCAACGACTCCACCTCGTTCACCCCCCACACCTCTTCCAGCGTCACCAGCAACAACACCTTCGTTATTATTACGAACTCGGGGCGACCCGTTATTCTCGACGTACAAACAAAACCAACACATGTTGGAGCCTATTAGATCATAAAAAATCATCATGTGCCTCGACCTACGACAATTGTCACTGTTCGCCACACCACCATCAGCCCCGTCAATAATTGCCCATGCTTCCTCGTACATTGGAATTGCAATATCTCCGAAATCACGCCTCCAGTCTGCTTCTGCGAAAACCCTCTCAGTTTGTATCCACAACCTTCGGTCCATGTTGTCTAAAACTTATTTTATTGATAAGTGTCTGTTGTAGATATAAAAGTATCGTTCCATTAATATGCTTATATAGGCGAATAAAATAATCGTGAAACCCTATGATCAATATGATGCGTCTCCCCGGATTACAAACGCATCGCTACATATACATGCATTTTCAACTTATGCCGTTTAAATACAGACGACTCATCAAACGTACGCCTCTTCAGTTATATCAAAAAAAAAACGTACAACTAATCGACTATGTAATATACATTAGATTACTATCGAGCTGTCATTCTACAATTAGATACTATTATACTACTGTGCAACGTATTTCTTTCAACAATTTTGTGAAATTATAGAACCACGTGTTAATAGACCCCCTCCTTGAATGTGAAATTGATTACCAACGAAAATCTTGTCAAAAACTGACCACACGATATGAAAGTCTGCAACACAAATAAAATATAAATATACTATTGCATAGATTTTATTCGACTACTGGTATCATTTTAAATAACTATAAGCATTCTAATAAAATACTAAACTTGATAATATAAAGCAACAACCATTAAAACTCAATAATAAACATTATGTTCGAAAAATCCCATAAAACCAGAATATTGTACGAAAACATAAAATAAAAACATTTTAAGCATAAGACATCAACCTTGAAAAAGTACTGGAAAACATAAATTAAAACAGTCACTTCCTACAAGTGTTCTTGTTATGATTTCCTTGAGCTTTGCAACGACTACAAGTCATTTTCCGGGGGACACACTCACCCTGAGATGGAATCTTTTTCCTCTTTGGGCGACCACGTGTTGGTTTAACTTCAGGAGGTCCAATTACAACAACATGAAGATCTGACACTTGTCTCACAAAGGGTATGATTAAGCTCGAATAACTCTCCTTAAATGTTGATCTATGGTACCATCTATCAATATAATCATACGCAGCAAGCCCACAACGAAGTTCAACAAAAATAACAGCAGCAGCATGTGCGCATGGAAACCCATTGATTTGCTACAGCCTACAAGAGCAGGTCCTTTCTCCAAGATCAACAACAGCATTTGGCGACGAAAAAACTTCGAACACGTGCATAGACGATCTTTTGCATATCCATGAACGCCCCTTGTCAACAGCCTCCTTCAATCTTTTCTCAGTCTTTTCACACAACACAGTCGTCCATCTATTGCCATCACATAGCCGGTTACAGATTTGCGTCATTAACAACAACCTTATGCCATCAATCAGACTAGTTATCGGCAAGTAACGTTGCTTCTTTATTTGATGATTCCACGACTCACATCCATTAGAAGTCATCTGTCCGTACCTATGACCCTCGCAGTAAACGTTGGACCACTTCTCTTTTAGAAGATCATCTAAGAAATTGCAAACTTTCGTCCCACCAGTAGTCTTCAGCTTCTCAATACATCAATCAAATTCTTCCTTAGTTGTCGCATAAGCACAGGCCGCAAATTGTTGCAACACCGTCTCACGAAAGCCGGCTGGAACACCCCTGAACCTGTATTTCAAATTGTTCTGCAAATGTTTGTAACTATATGTGTGCAAACAGTCAGGAAAAATGTTCCTAACACCCTCAATGATACCATGGTTCCGATCCGAAACGAAATTGAGCGTCCTATCATTCCCAATAGCATCCCTAAAATGACCCAGAAACCAAGCCCAATTCGAATCAGTCTCCTCACTTACAATTGCAAATGCAATAGGGAACAGACCTGCACACACGAAATTAAAACAAAATCACTAAAACATTTTTTAGCTGTTTTATGTATCAACTGTGCCTATTACTACATAACTCAATTGTACTATCATATGACAGTTAATAAACTATGGCATAACTGTAAGATACTATCAAACACAGATGCAGTGAGATCATTACCTTCATTAACATCTTTGCCCACTTCACTGAGCAACACTCCCTTGTATCTACCTTTCAAAAACGTGTCGTCCAGCATGACAACAGGACGACAAAACTTGAATCCATCTAAACACACTGCAAATGCAAAAAAACACCGTCGGAAAATCTGCTTCTCCACCTCAACATCAAGATGAAAGATACTCCCAGGATTTGTCTTCCCCGCTTCATCGAAATAAGATGGAAAGTACGAATATAAAGAAGTCTCATCCCCAAAGATCCTTCTTCTTCCCGCATCAGTAGCCCTCCACGCAACCCAATAGCTTATGTCAACACCAAATTTATCCTTCACTTGGCTCTAAATTTCTCCTGGGGTTATAGCCGGCATTGCACGGATATCATTTTCAATCAGGTCAATGATGACAACTGAATTCAATCTTCTCTTACTAGTTGTTCCAAAAAACATTCCACATTGATGATGTTTGTTGTACGACCGAATATAACAGTAATCATTTGATTTATCCACCGATGCATGTATCCTCCACGAACATTGGCTAGCATTTTTGAAACGACACACCGCTGTAACTCGCGTTGTCTCATTCTTAACATACAAAAATTCAAATCCCATCTCAATAGAGTATTTGATAAGCGATTTCCTGAACTCACGAACACCGCCTTCGAGCCCCTGACCTACATCCTTAATCAAATATGCCCAATCCGCACTCAACAATCTTCTGCCTTTCACCTTATCCGCCACTCCCTCTACATTGCGTTCATTAACAACCACACATTCATCATACAACACCAATAGGAAGCCACCCACCTCTGCAGATAATACATTCGGTCCAGGCAACCCCACTGGTTTTCCATCAATGTTAACATCAATACAATCCAACGAGAGATCTGATAACATTTCAAACATCGACATCATGTCATCATCGTCAGCCAAGATACATTCACCAATGCCTTCCAGCCTATATGTCATGCTTATATCCCTCCCATCGAGCTGTGGCCACTTTGAAATAACAAATGCAACCAATGAACCGCGAGTAAACCCATTCGAACACCTCTTTATAGCAACCAACCTACCAAACCTCAACAAAATCCGTACGAAATTCGCCATCGAAAAAACCTTAAATCATGAAACGACATTAAAATGCAGAATACTAATAAATATATTAACATGATCAAAAATAAACTTAAAATGCAAAATCCATATACACTGAATTAAAAAAGACTACGAAATATAGTTTAATGTACTACCCAGCACACTAAAATGGACTGTTGTAAACAAATAAACCAACTATCAATCGGGATCAAACACAAAAACTCGACCACAACAGACAATTATTACGATTATTGCATAAACCAACTACGACGCTCATATAAAAAAACTCTGGTCCGACCGATGAACCATCCTCTTCTAACTCTGTGAATCCTCTTCCAAACAAACATCATCAGCCAAAAATAATGATGTATATGTGACGACATAATTTTGTTAAAAAACGTTCTACTTGAAAGAATCAAGTATCAACACAACTCTTAAAAATGTCTAACCACCGTACACGACAACCCTGGACATACAGCGAAAATAAAAAACGAAAAAAAACGGATTCATACCCGCTTAAACAACGGACAACAATGAACGCTCAAATCCGATCCTATTTCCACGCCGGTGAAAAAATCTTCAAAGACGATAGAAAAATGATGAAACGCTGTAGAAAATCTTCAAAACAGATTGTACACGATTTGATATAAACGGCCAATAGACGCACTTAGTTTTTATCCGTAATTTTAGGCAACGTATCAGCAAATCTCATATCACGTAGTTAAGGAATTAAATAGCGTTAAAAAATAAAACAGGGGTATTAAAGAGAAATTATATAATATATTTTGCCAAGTTGGCAAATTTGGGTGTATCTCAAAAAGGGAAAAATTAATTGGATCTACCTCATTATAAAATATGAATAAGGGGTTATCCCTAATAAACCCTACATATATTAATACCTACACTTCATTTAATCATTTCGTTTTTTCTTATTATTTTTTATTTTTTTAATATTTTTTTGATATTTAAAAATAAAAAAAATAAAAAAAAACCTTGTTTTTTAATATGTTTTTCTGAATTTTATTTTTCGAAAAGTTAACTACATCGAATACGACTATATATGACTACAGTCAACTATAGTCATTTTCTTGCTTTATATTACCCATTTTTACTTCAAATTTTCTACATTTAGTGTTTTTCTTTTTCTTTTATTTGGAGAAAAAATCATTTTTTTTGGTTATGCTTACTACATCGATATGATAGTAGTCAAATATGACTATAATATGATTATATTTGACTATTGTCAACGGTAGTCATATTTTTTTCTTTTTATAATTGTTTTTTCACATTTTCAACTTGAAATTGAATATTTTCGATTACATAGTGTCATAAAGTCAAATTATATAAAAAAACGAATATCGTATTATTTACGAAAAGATCCAATCAACATTCACAAAAAAATACATGTGACTACGACTCTTTTGGCTTTTATTCATCTTCTTCAACATCATCGACTCTTTTGGCTACCATTGAATTTTACACCAAAAACTAGACTGAGATCGAGAGGAGAGAAAAGAATATGGAAAATGATATTTTAACCCCAAATCTCGATGGCGACGGAAGCGGCGTAGTACTCAACAACGGTAGCCCCCTCGATCAGATCTGAATCTCGCTGCCCTAGCCTCCTCCATCGACTTCCGCACCGTCACAGTTTCTCCATGCTCATCGGTTTGCACGGCTTCTCCGGCCACCGCCGTCGCGAGAAATCGAGATGATAGATATAGGAAGACCCCCTTGGAATTGTTACACCATTGACATATATATAGTGAGATTTGGGTACTTATAGTGCGATTTGGATGTATGACTACATAGGACTACATTCATATTCGACTACAAAACTACAATAGAGGAACACGAAGCTGCAGTAGATGGAGGCGGCGACGACGGTGGTGTACAGATCTGAAGTAAAAAATGAAAGAGAGAGCAGAGAGGCAGCGGTGCCGGTGAACGAAAGATAGAGTGGGGGAGGTGGTGGTGGTGTACAAATCTAGAATTAAAAAAAAAAAAAAACAAGAAAGAGAGAGAGGGGGATTTTGTGGAGGCGGAGGCGGAGACGGAGGTTGTCGAAGTTAAGGGCGGCGGTGCAGCATGAATGGGGCTGAGAGAGAGCGGGAGGATTTAGATAGCGAGGTGGAGAAGAGAAGAGATGAAAGTGATAGAGGTGGAGGCAAATAATTATTTAGGGTTATAATGGTTGATGGTATTTTTGTCTTCTCACACTAGTTTTGCGGGGGTCTCACCAATTAAAACTGAGATTTAGATGTGTTTCAATAAAGTCAATAGTATTTAGTTCAAAATATTTTACAAGTTAGGAAGTATTACACATTTGCCCTATTTATATGTGCTTTACGGACTGTCCCGAAATTTTGAAGTTTTGAGTTGTCGTGGGGGATTTATATGTATTCACCCCCTTAAACTAATTAACAAACCTTATTTTGTAGGAAATTAGCTTCCAAAGGTGTATAGCAAATTATCCTAACAAATAAAAGTCGATTTGTTTTTTTTTTTTTTTTTTCTTTTATTTGAAGAGAAATGAAATGAAATCACAATTATATGGTTGAAAAATGGCTTTCATTCAATCAAAAAAAACCACATTTACTCACAACAATCCGGTTTTCAAAATTGACTCCTCCTCCGGTCATTGTTTTGTGGGGGCGCCGTTATTTTCACTCACATCCCCATTCCAAGTAAGTCCAAATTGCCAATCACAAATGAGCTGTGACACACTACCTACTATTTCTATTTCATCAGAGCCAAACAACTAAGTGAGAGAAGAAGAAGAAGAATACAGAATCCACACACACACAAACACACACACACAAAAGGTGAGAATAAACCTCCTTCTCTCTCCTTTTCTTTTGAATTGTGTGCAGAAAGGAAGAAAATGGAGAAAGCTTTGGTAAAAGTTGGGAGCATAAAAGCAGGTACATTTTGGGTTTCCAAGAAAGCCAAAGAAGAGATCTCCAACATCTCTCAAGACCTCTCTGTATTTTCTCTCTCCTCTCTCTCTCTCTCTCTCTCTCTCTCTCTCTCTCTCTCTCTCTCTCTCTCTCTCTCTATATATATATATATATATATATACATTTATTTTCTTTAATGTGTGCACAATGCTGGGTTAAATAGAACTTGCCCTGTTTGTTCTTGGTGATTAATTGGGTTTTACTTTAGAGGATCTGTCTGAATTTTCTTTTTCTTGGTTAAAAATTGAATCTTGAAATTAATTTGTGACGTGACAAAAATGGATAAAAATTTCTGGCTTTTATTAGTTAGGGTTCTTAAAGAATAAAATTCAGAATTGGGAATTCGGGCTGCTACCGAAGAATTTCCGTTTATTGCGTCGTTACGATGATGAGATTTAATGCGTGCAAAAAAAGGGGGATTAGTCGATTTTCGTTTAGTAGCATTCATTTTGAATTGATGGTAGTGGTACTGTTTTCGACAAATCGTTCGAGATCTGTCCCCACCGATATACTCGAGTAATTGCTTAATTGTTTTAGACGAGTAATTTGGGTAGTTTCGAAACCTCGTAAACTGTTTGCATTCTTTTATTTCGTATAGAAAGGTACTTCAAATTATGATGTACATTTTTAACTTCGATTTGTAAAATGGTTATGTATAGTACATTAGCAAACGTAAATCGAGTACATTGTATATATTTGCGTTTCTCCGACAAATGTACCTATCCCTTCCAAATCGATCTCAACAGTATTTTGTTGAAGATCTATTCCCACATCGGCTAATGATTAGATCTTTAATTCGTTTTGCTTCATTTGTGTATCGTTTTCCAGACATTCTCGAACACCGTGGAGGAGAAGGCAAAGTGGATTTTCAACAAGCTCAAAGGTAAAGCAATAAATTGCCGACTTTTTCTGCCATTACGCAAAATGTGCATATTATCTATCTAATCAAGATTATTAAAAGATCTATGCTTGAAATTAACTATTACGGCAAATTACGGCCACCACTGAGGTATGGTCAAATTACGACAAAACCCTTCTTGTTTGGGTAATTATTTTGGTAATTACATGGTAATTACAGCCACCCCTCCTTTTACATATTTTTACATAAAATTTATGTAATTCGGTTATTTACCAACCCAAATTGTATATTCAGTTCGGTTTTACCGATTTAACATCCCTACATTTACCTCTGGAGGGGTATTTTCGTAAGATAATACACAGTTGAGGGGTGGCTGTAATTGCCAGCCCAAACAGGAGGGGGGTTTTCGTAATTTGCCCTAAGTATTAATATCAAACTAATCAATCTCATGTAATTTTTTATTATCCTCAGGGAAGCCACAGAAATCATTGGCCGATCTCCTCCGAGAAAACAATCTTCCAGCTGGCATTTTTCCTCAGAACATAACATGCTATGAATTCGACGAGTTGAAGTCGAAGCTCATTGTGTATTTGTCTTCGCCATGTGAAGTGTGTTTTAAGGACTCGTCCATTGTTAGGTACTCGACTCGTGTGAAAGCCACATTGTCGAGGGGAAAGCTGACTGGGATAGAAGGGATGAAGACGAAAATGGTATTGGTGTGGGTGAAGGTTACAAACGTCAACGTCGAAAGTTACAAGTCCGATAAAGTGTGGTTCACTGCTGGCGTCAAGACGTCAAGATCGAAAGATGCTTACGAAATGCCTCGTGATGCTATCCGGGTTGAAGAACTTTGATATATATATATATATATATATATATATATATATATATATATATATATATATATATATATATATATATTGTTGGGGGATATATATATATGTGCATGAATTCTTTATAGTTGTTGTTTATGATATGGAAATTTTGTTATTGCATATTAGCTGGCTCTTGTTGTAAACTGTGTTTGTGATCAATCATTGGAGAAATGATTGTTCTGCTCATATTTAAAAAAAATAATAGAGTTTGAATTAAAGTCCCTTTTTATTTTTCTAGTTGTAATCTCAGTTTTGCCAACTGAATATAGCTATAAGATATAAAGTAGGGGTGTAACTGTAGACAAGACCGGGCGCGGGTCTGGGTCTGAGTTTTAGGGGGCCTGAAACCGACCCGAAGGGAGACGGCGCCGGGTCCAGGGTGGGTCTAGGTGGGTCTCGATGGGTCAGGGGCGGGTCCGGGTCCAAAGTGGATTTAAAAAAAAAATTAAATTATAAAGAAAAAAAGAAACAAAAAATGAATCCGGTCACAACGGAAAAAGACACCGGCGCAGCTGGAACCACTTTTTTTGTGCGAAAATATCAAAAATTAGGCAAGACGTTGCAGTTAAGCGGAATGGAAAGCGAAACCAAAAAGCAAATAGTAAATATCCCTTAAAACATAAAACACAAGCACCCAGTGTAATGCTGAATGAATAAGCCCAATTGTTTGGGCTAAATCGGGCAGTAATTAGTGACTTCATTCAGATTATCTTACCAGACACTTTTAACAAGATGCTATTTTGACTGAATCAGTATTTTTTGCCATTCATATGTCATTAAGCACCTATCAAACGGGATTCATAGTGAGTTCTAATACGGCTCATAAAATTTTCGCGTCTAATAGGTAACTCAAACTTGACCAGACTGACAATGAATTAGATTCAACTCAAATATTATTGGTGCCGAGCCATCATGCTTCGAGTAGGCCCGAGGCCCAACTCAATTGAGAGTCTAAGATAGTAGTAATATGTAATTTATCAAAAGTTTCGAGTATTGACTTTGGACATAAGATAACTTTACTAAGAGCGCAGCTATTTGAAATACTTGCACTAAAAAGACGAAATTCCTCGCATACAATACCCCAATCTCTTGGTCCGACAAGTATTTGATAGAAGGGCTATTTGAAATACTAATTCCACTAAAGTAAAGGCCAAATTAAAATTTTCAATATAGAAATGCTATAGTACCCTTACTAAAAATAAATAACACAAGATCACAAATTCAAAACCCACAAAAACCTACCCACAAGACAACAATAACACAAGACCACAAGACCACAAACCCACATTCTTCATCCTCGAGCCACCTTTTTCATCTTCCAAAGCCCACAAAATCTCTCTCCTTTGAGCATGTACAATGGGCTAGCTAAAAATCCCTCTCCAAACAGTGGGGTCCACATGCCACACACGCATTTTCATTTACTTTATTACCTCTCTAAAAATGGGTCCCACATTTATCACTCTCCAAATTAAAATTGCTCCAATGGGTATATTTTGTTGCTCTCCAAAATGCTCTCCAAAAATTAAACTACAATAAAATATTCACTATTAATATAAAAAAAATACATATTAAATTTTCAAGATTTTATATTTAATTAATAAAATTGATATAATTAACTTGACTTTGAAATTAGGCTAATTTACGTTAAAAAAATACCATTTGATCATGTTGTGATTTATGTTAGTTTATTTTCTTTTTATTTTTTATTTTCTATAATATATAAAAACTAATTAATAATATGAAAAGTTAACAACTAACATAAAATTGACATAAATATTAATAACATAAAGGATTACAAAGAGTTGACTAACATTGTTGAACATCTCTCCAACTAATAGAAGACATCAATAAAAATTACGAGAAATCTAGTAAACTAATTATTAGGTCACGTAAACGCTGACTTATTTTTCCGTGCACGACTTATGATTTCTCTTTGTTGTTCCATGATCCAAGCTTGTTGATCAATAATCTAAATTTTACCTTCTTCTGTATGAGCTGAATTGGGATCCATCATCATTATTTCTTTCTCAAACCGTTTTTGTTCTTGTTCTTTCATTGCTGCAATTCTCATTTGTTCGGTTTCCTTTTGAGCTTGTAGCTGTAAATTTCTTGCTTCCATTTTCGCTTGTAACTTTTGTTGTTCTATTGCATGTTTTCTATTCCCTTCCTCTTGAAACCGACTTGATGCTTCTTTTCTCATATTAGAAAACTCTTCTGCAAATAAGTTCATGGAATTAATTTTTTTTCTTTTTTTTAGCACTTTTCGCACATTTATTACCAGGTGGACGTGGTAGACCAGTTGAAGCATTATTAGATACTCCATCTTGATCGTCAAGACTAATTGAGGTTGGAGTTCCGCTAGGTGTGGATTGCTCACTTGACGGAGTCTCGGCATTGGAGGAATCTCCAATATCATCTTCATCCAAATTAATTTATGCCCTCTTTTTTTGAGACATTCTTTTCTTCTTCTCTTGTACATCATTGATATGATTGTACCATTTCGGTGTGTCTTTTAGAATAAGCCAACAAGTCTCCCACTTAAAAACATAGTTCTCTTTCTTGTAATATAATTGTTTTGTTGTTAACATCTGGAAATAAAAATTCAAATACTTTATTTAAATAACATGTACATATATATATATATATATATATATATATATATATATATAAAGCTATTGTAACATAATTTTATATTTACTTACATTATCTTCGGCACTTTGTCCACTTATTGGAGCCCGTTCAATCATATTGACATATCCAGAAAATTTAGTGACGCTTAATTGAATGGTTGACCACCGATTCATTAGCCCACCTGAGGGTCTACCACGGTCGTCTTTTAGAATTTTTACAAATTCCGCGCCAATTCGGTCCCACAACTTGCCTCTTCGTTGATTCGTACCAACTGTTGGATCTTCTGAAATATGTAACTAGGCTTTGCATATAGCTTCATCTTCTTTCACACTCCAGTTTGGTTGTCTATCTCTTTGGGCGCGTCCTCCAGAACTCTTTTTACGTGATGTATTTGGAGTATGCATTTGATGTTGCATTGGAATATGAGATGAACCTGCAAAAACGAAAGGATTGTATGCAAACTGGGAAAATGGTTGAAATTGCGAATTCATGGATTGAGGAGTAAATGTTTGAGAATCATTTTGTAGTGGTGGCTGAGAATTATATTGTGGATTAATATTAGGATTGAAATTATTGTACGGATCCATAATATCACTGTAAAATGAAGGTGAATTGGTGAGTTATAACATCAATATATGACTACTATTTATAGTGGAGCAAAACTATATTTGCACATCCCAAAACAATATCATAATATATTAATTGCTTCTTGGCATATCTTTTCCTCCGATAGATTTTTCATGGCACACTTCCCGAAATAAAGTATTATAATAGCTTCTTAACATTTTGCTAAAAAAAATTTAATTTTTTTTATGACACATCTTGTCATCTGAAGATATTAGTCCTGTATTTTTTCTCAAAAAATAATATCATAACATTTTTTATAAAAGAAAAAAATTAATTGTTTGATGACATATCTTGTCATATGAAGAGACTATTCATGGCCCTTATTTCAAAAAATCAATATCATAATTGTTTAGCTAAAAGAAAAAGGAAATATACGAATAGATTATTCATGGCACTTTTTCCTAAAATGCAGTTGCTTAACATTTTGCTAAAAGAAAAAGAAATGATTGATTGATGGTATATCTTATCTTCTGAAAAAACTATTCATGACACTTTCTTATCCTCTGTAACAATATACTATCACCCATCGCAACGACGATATATTAATCGTGATCGTGAAAAAAGTCACCAACAATTGTGGGATGATTATTTTTCTGATAATTGTACCTATCCTGATGATTATTTTCGCAGACGTTTTAGGATGCGCAAAGAGTTATTTTTTCGTATCTTGAATGATGTTCAAAATCATAACTCATACTTCATTCAAAAAAAAGATGCTCGTGGCCGCCTTGGCCTATCATCTATTCAAAAAATAACTGCTGCACTTCGTATACTTGCTTATGGTTTGTCTGCAGATAATTGTGATGAATATCTAAAGATTGGAGTGACAACTGCAATAATGAGCATAAAGACTTTTTGTTCCTCGATAATTGAATTGTACGAGGAACAGTACATGCGCTCGCCAAATGAACACGATATTGCACGTTTACATCAAGAAGGTGAATCACGAGGATTTCCAGGTATGCTTGGTTCCTTAGATTGTATGCATTGGGAGTGGAAAAATTGTCCAACTGGTTGGCACGGCACACACAGAGGTCACCATCACAAACCAACTCTAATTTTAAAAGCAGTTGCATCCCATGACCTTTGAATTTGGCATTCATTTTTTGGCATGGCGGGTGCAAATAATGATATTAATGTCTTAGATCATTCTCCATTATTCGACAAATTCATATATGGCAGAATGCCTCCAATCAATTATACAGTGAATGGGCATTCTTATACAATGGGATATTACTTAACCGATGGTATTTACCCAAAATATACAACTCTCATTCAAACCATTCCTTATCCGACCACTGCAAAAGAAAAATTATTTGCTACAAAACAAGAGGCTGTCCGAAAAGATGTAGAACGTGCATTTGGTGTTTTACAAATCAGGTGGGGCATAACACAAGGACCTGTACGATATTGGTCAAAAGAAGATCTCTGTAAGATAATGAAAACTTGCATTATCCTTCATAATATGATTATAGAAGATGAACGGGAAACTGATTACGACTTATGGGAACCTTTACCTGAAGAAAATATTTTTTCTCCCGAATATGGTCGAGATCCATCAATTCTTGCGTCTTACATCTCAGCACGTCTTGGTTGAATTCGCAATCGGGGAACTAATGAAGTCTTGCGATCCGATCTTACGAATCATTTGTGGAGTATCTTTGGAGATGAGGAGGGTTAAATAATATTATTTTTCTATGTTGTCTTATTTTCATATTTGAATTGTAATTTCTTTATTTTTGTAAATTTGTATCGTAGTTTATATTGTAACAGGTTTTATTAATGTTCAATTTAAAGTTAATTTCATTTTATTATTATTGACTAAAATTTGTTCAAATACTTAATTATTATAATAAATAATTAAGAATATGAAATTAACAAATAACATAAAATTGAATCTTATTTATTCTATTAATTTTTTTTTCGTTTGTTCGCTTCGATAAGCAAAAAAAATTAAATTTAAATTTAATTAGTATTTAAAATTTATAATATTTCAGTTATCATTTAAATATATAAATAAATTAAAGTTCAAAAAAATAAAAGAAAAGAATTGGTAAATGATATAAAAAAAATTGGTAAAAATGGACCAAATAAAAGAGGTTGCATACTTTTTTACAGAATAAACAAGAATAAAATATGTATGGGTCCCACATTTTATTGGTAGAGAGCTCAATAACTGTGGCTAGCCATTTAAAGGCTGGCCAAATGTAGCTAGGCCTATGGAGGGCTATTGAGTGCCACTGCACCATTATTACTCTCCAAAATTTGGAGAGGCTAAAAAAACTGACACTAACGTGCTTTTAAGGAGTCCAATGTACATGCTCTTATTACCAACAAAACTAAAAATTCAAAACCCTCAAATCTTAACAAATCATACAAAGACAACAAATACGGAGTTTAAAGACATCAAAATGAAAGATTCAACGGTAGAATAACTCATAGGAGTATGAATTAATGTGTGTCTATTAGCTAGGTGACAATTTTTGTTCATTTTTTTTAAAACAATTCCGTGCAGACTAGAATCGACATTTGCACGTCGATTTTTGTCACAAAAATTGACATCTACATGTCCAAAAGGAAAAAAAAGAAAGAAAACAATCAAAAATCGACATCTTAATGTCGAGAAGAGCAGCAAAAAATCGACATTTTGGAAATTTATCCACAAAACCTATAGGTGAATGTCCACCAACCTCACAAAAATTCGACATTTGTAGGTCGATTTTTGGGGTTCGGTAGTTCTCAAAAAAAAAATCATCGATTGTATTATTCAATCGTCGATTTTTCAACATAATGACACAATTACGTATCATATTAAATCGTCTATTCTTCAACATAATGACACAATTACGTGTTCATGGAGATTTCTTGATGACATTTTGACTAAAAAAACTTCGAAAAAGATCGAGTGTTACAAAAAACCCTTTCGATTTTTTATACTTTTCAAGATTTAAAAAATCATAAATGTTGAAGGTTTTGCTTGGGCGTCAGTGTTGGACGGTTTGCTCTGGTGACTATGAAAGATTGCTCGATTCCAACGGCGGTGACAATTACATTCATGAATTTTGTTGTGTCTAGTCTTGCAATTTTTATTTTATACTTTACTTTTGAAAACCCAACTTTTTTTTTCTTTTTTTTTAATTGCAATTACAAAACAAAAAATAAATAAATATAATAATGGACATATTTATTATTTCACGATTTTCATCTTAGTGAAATAGTGTTCTATTACGGTAGACATGGCCACGGGGCGGGGCGGGTTCGGTTCGGACCTGCCGGATCCGGGTCCGACTTTTAGGGGACCCGAAACCGACCCGCGGGGAGGCGGGTCCGGGTTCGGGGCGAGTCCATCCGGGTCCGAGTCCACCCGGTTTTTCAATTTTTTTTTATTTTTTATTTTTACAAGAAAGGAAAAAAAAATTATATTGAAACTTGAAAAAACATGAGATTAACTTAAAATTCAAAATTTAAAAAAATAATTGAATTTAAACACTAAACAATTTTAGAAAAAAATGAAACGATTAAGACTTTGAGACATAAACTAAATAAAATGAAAGTTGTGAAGATTGAATTATGGGTAGTTATAAGTGAAAGTAATAATTGAGAAATTTTTCAAAATTTCAAAATTCAAAAAATATCAAAATTCAATCTTTCTTTTAAATTAAATCGTATTTTTTTTTATATTTTTCAAAATTTAATATATATGCATTTGTTATTAGTCGAGATTTTTTATATTAATAATAGTCAACATGACAATTAATAATTTATAAAACATTAGTTATACAATTATTATAATCATTTTACAGTGTTATTTATATTTATATATTTATAATTAGGATTATTATAACAAGGAATATATATATAGCATAAACAAAAGGTGTAAAATGATTATGATAAACAATGTCAAATAGATTATTAATTAACATATTCATCATTATTAAATAATTTTAATTAAATTATTACCAAATATAATATAATATAATATAAAAATTGAAAGGACTTGAGATTAATCCATTTAAATCATACGATTTGATTCTAATATTTGAATAAAATGTAAATGTAAAAAAGGATTACATCATATCATCCACAATTTAATTCTTACGATTTTTACAAATTAAACCAATTATTAAAAGATAAATTACATCATAATATTTTGATTATACTAGTCATATATAGTGTTATTTTGTAAGTAAGAATATTAATTGAAATGAGATATAATCTATTTTGATTAAAATAAATATCATTTATATTTTTAAATAATCATCTTATGATAAGATACTCAATAATATTAATAAGTTCTTGTCAACAATTGATGTTAATCAATTTAAATTAATTGAAATGAGTTATAATCTATTTTTTTAAATAAATATATTATTTTATTTTTCATTCGATTTTTTCACACTATCGATTTTAATAACATAAGTGACTTTGTAATAAGTCAACGCATTTGTTTATATATTGAATTGATTCAATACTTTATATTTTTCAATAGTGGAGATTATATTGATATAGTAATTAATAATAGATGTTTTGAAGTATTGAACCGTGATTCTATATATATTTTTTTAAATTTTCTTATATTGCATTTGTTATTTATTTAATTAAAATTATTTAATAATAATTAATATTAGAAATTTTTCATAATTTCAAAATTAAAAAAAAAAGATCAAAATTCATCTTTCTTTTAAATTAAATCGTAATTATTTATATTTTTTAAAATTAAATATATATGCATTTGTTATAAGGGGAGATTTTTAATATTAATGATAATGAATATGACAATTAATAATTTATTAAACATTAGTTATACAATTCTTATAATTATTTTACAGTATTGTTTACATTTATATATTTATAGTTAAGATTAATATTGCAATAAGTAACTTTGCTCGAGTGGTTAGTACTCACTAACCCACTCGGGCTACCCGGATTCGAACCTCAAAAGCTGTATTTTTGGTGATTATTTCATTAAAAAATCCAGGTGGACCCGACGGGCCCTCGTGTCCGGGCCTTCGGGTCCCCCCACCGGGTAGACCCCTCGAGCCTCGAGTCTGAAAAATTGGGACCCGAAACCGATCCGTACTTAATCGGGTCCGGGTCCATGGTCAATCGGCCGGGGCGGGGCGGGGCAGTCAACGAGTCGGGTCCGGGTCAAACCCGGCCGTGGCCGTGTCTATATTATGGTCTTCCTTTGAGTTGGTTTTCCAATTAGTAAAGCAAAAGTTCAACTTACCACACAAGAAATAATTTTGTCCCTCAATGTAAATTAGTAAACTCGATTTCACCAACAAAATTTCTCTATTTTTCTTAATTTTTCCCAACCAGCAGAGAAAGAAATAATCAATTATGAGCTCTGGGTCCGGTTCCTCATCACCGCGGGGAGCGCGTAAGGAGGACGAGAGGCCTAGATTCTTCGATAAAAAGGCCAAGAGCGCGTGCTGGTCAAACGCTGAAACGGTTCCCGGCCGCCACCCTGAGCGGTGGCGCAAAGACGCCGCCGGCAACATTGTCTGCAAACGCTTCTGCAACTGCCAAGGCTGCCTCTGCTTTGAGTATGACCACATCGTTCCCTTTTCCAAAGGTCCCTTCTTCTTTTTCTTTTTTCTTTTCCCCCCCTTCTTTTCTATATAAGCTGTCTGAAAATCAAAAGAACAAAAAAATTTAGGCATTTGATTTTCTTACATTGAACTTGCATGCACTACTTCTCAAATGGGCTTCCAAGATTTTTTGCTAATTTTGAGGAAATAATTGTTTTTTTTTCTTTTTTCTAATTAAATTATTATTTGTGGAATTTCTGGAAATTGGGGGTTTTTTTTTTTATTTAATTCATGTAAGTATGTTTGTTTCTTGGTAGATTGAGGTGGTGTTTGCAAAAGCTTTTTAAAAGTGATTATGAGCTTTTTTTTTTTTTGCTTATAATCTGTTTTTAGGTGCTCCTAGAATCAAACTTTTGCTTTTGCATCTTAAAATAATCTGCTTCAAGCTATTTTTCTAAAAGCATCCATAAACCTGCTTTTTCTATTTAAGTTTATTTTCCGGAATATGTGCAAACACTCCTAAGGTGGCGTTTGCAAACGCTTAATTAAATGCATAAGTTATGGATTGTGAGTTAATTTGGTTTTAAGTGCTTATTTTTAAAAGTTTGAGGTGTTTGCAAATTCACTGGAAAATAAATTTAAATAGAAAAAGCAGGATCATGGGTGCTTAACAAGTTATAACTTAAAGATGCTTATTTTAAGAGAAGCAAAATCAAAAGTTCATTTTGCAAACACTTAAAAATAGATTATGAGCAAAAAAAAAAGGTCATAATCTATTTGTAAAAGCTTTTGCAAACACCACCTAACTTGTAGAAATAAGCACTTAAAACCAATTTAACTCACAATCACTAACTTCTGCTTTTCAATAAGCTTTTGCAAACACCACCTGAGTAATGAGCTTTAGGTGGTGTTTGCAAAAGCTTATTTAAAAGCAGTTGTAGATTGTTGTGAGTTAAGTTGGTTTTATGTGCTTATTTCTAAAAGTTGGGGGTGTTTGCAAATTTACTGGAAAATAAACTTAAATAGAGAAAGCAGGGTCATGGGTGCTTAACAAATTATAGCTTAATCTTGTGGTGATTTTCTGTAGGTGGGGAATCAGTTGCAGAGAATTGCCAAATTCTACAGACAAGAGTAAACAGATTTAAATCAGATAAGCAAGAAATTGATGGTTCCGAGTTGAAAGGCTACTCTTGTGACGTTAAGTTCACCGGTACGTTATATATTCTTTGTGCATATATATATTATTGTCGAATGTATGCTTTTCTTATAGAATCGATAAGAACCGTATTCACTTCTAGGAGTTCATGCATATATATAGTATGGTTTATGAGAAAACGAGAGTTTATCGAGTGCTCTTCATCTGTGTTGGTGTGGCATTATTCCCTGAAGAATCGAGTATGATGGATATAGTGTCATAACAATTAAATCATAATTTACTCCATGAATTACATAAAATGGCTGAAAAAATAATCGAAGTTGAGAGGTTATGGAATACTATCGAAAGGAATTGATACAAGATGAAAAGTGTGTTGAATCTATTCTTTTTCGGCCCATCCCGTCTCGAATCGAAAGACGTGAAGGAGTTTTCTGAGAGGACCTGCCAAATTACGATTTTGGCCCTATCAGTTTTTGTACTTAACGAATTTACATGAATTGTACCGTTGGTTTATTAGCTAGAGAAAATCCTAAGCGTATTGTAGGATGCTCGGTCGTTACGTAATTTCGTGCAGTTGTGATTAATTGTTAGAGAAAGTATGTATGTCAATCCTTTCCCGATACTTGTAGTAATAAAGCCGAATTGGTGTAATCTTGAAATGCAGACAAGGCGCTCGATATTATAGAAATGGCTGTGTATGGAGATGTAATGAGGCCTGGAAATCAATGCCGCTGCAAAACCGTAGCTGAAATGCTCGGTAAATACAAGCCCAAAGATCAAACCGCTCCGTGCAAGTTGCCCTTTAACGAGGACCCTTTGCAACAATAAAGATTTATTAAAAAAAAAAAAAAAAAAAAAGAGCCCGATTTCCGTTTCTTGATATTTAACTGAAATTGATTCTTGAAATACCATAGCAAAAATGTTTTTTTTTATAATATATATTTAGTTTATTACATTGTTACTGGAATTTGTGTGAACTAGATTGGCAACTGCTGCAGACAGTGATGAATAAACGTAGCATTTGTTTTCAGGATCTCGTGTTTTTTTATTCGAGTTATAATTTTTGGGGCTGTATGATCCATGCATGGTTTATGTTTTGCTTTTCTTTAATGTGATTAAATCAAAAGTATTGGACCCGAAGAATCATAGCGAAGAGTCTAAGCTCCACTCGATTTTTCGTTGCATTTATTGATTTTACGTACATGAATTTGGTGTTGTGAACTAAGTTTTCCTTGTTGTCTCAAAGATCTTGCAGTTCTGGATTCCCAATTTCGTCTCATTTCATTTTAATTCTTCCGACACACTTTTTTTATGAAGGAACAAAATCTCGATTAGTGTGACAAAAAGAAGTTAGTTTATCGTTTATGTAAGTATAATTATTTATCAGTGAGAAACTTATTGTTTATTGTAGAATTTGTTCTTGAGGATGTTTAGTTACTAAAGAAAACATTTACAATGAGTATACTAGCCCTCGTTCAGTTACCAAGATAAAATTAGCTTGGATAAGATTATATATTTTTTCCACAAATGCGGGCCGACCCAAAGAGTTATTGAACAAGCCGAACATCTGTATTGGTATTGGTTTGTAGATGACCGTTAAAGGTCTATTTTGTGTATACCTCACCTGATGTAGCATATATTTATAGAAAAAGAGAAAACTGACTACGATTATATATATATATATATATATATATATATATATATATATATATATATATATATATATATATAATTATATATATTGTGGGTGAAAAGATCCTCACATCTCACATCTATGCTTAATGCTCATTGAGTGCAATAATAATTTCATGAGCAACCAAACCCAACATTTACCAAAGCATTATTTATTTGATATACATTTGATCCCTTGTACAGCTTTAATTTGTAGTGAAGTCTGAAGTGAGTGTAGTTGTTGGAGACAGCGACTCTCTCTCTCTCTCTCTCTCTCTCTATATATATATATATATATATATATATATATATGTGTGTGTGTGTGACATAATTATGAAGGTCTTAAATATCACGCTAACTACAGACAAGTGGCATATGGATTTGTTATAACTATAATGGACAATAATATAATTCTTCAACCTCAGCCTTATATAAGTTAAGGGGTTAGTTCATGAATATTTGTTCAACTAATCCTAAACTTTCAGCTGTGGAAAATTGTTTATTATGTTCAACCAGTTTGTATTTATAGTAACATAGAGTAGAGTAGGCTGTGTTGTCTCTTTAGAATTAACTGGTTTCCATAAAGAAATATGCAGGAGAAAAAACTCATTTCTATAAAAATTGGCCCTTGCCGAGTTATTTCTATACTACATCCGATGAAGGTTACATTGGCGGAGCCAGGAATTTGAGACAGAGTGAGCTTAATATTTACGGGGGTTTGGCGTAGACCGAGATTTTTTTTTTTTTTTTTTTTTTGATTCATTCGTATAAAATAGGACAAAATTTATAAACTTTGACTAAGAACACATAAATTTTTTTGGTGAATAGACTAAATTAAATTACTTTAGTGGAATAAATTAAATTATTTGGATAGGCTAATAATTATATAGTTATAATATTTTATAAAAAAAAAAAATTGAATCCACAGTGGGCTGGAGCCCACCCTTACCGCCACTAGTTACATCAGATAATTTTTTACCGTTGTTTTACACACACCAATGTGGATGTGTGTTTGTGCTTATATGAAATGGCAAAGATGTTGTACCCTACTACCACAGTCCCAATATTATTGCATTTTCAATACTCTCTCTCTAAAAAATGATCTCACTTATATCTTTTTCCAAATTAAAACAATGTTGCAGTAAGTAAATTTTGCTTATCTCTAAACATTGGTCTATATATTAAGATATAATAAATTATTCATTTGATAATACAGGAGTTTTTGAAGTTAATTTTGTTTTATTTATGTACTAAAATTGATGTACATTATTTGTTTAATTTTTTAAATTGTTCTATTTTACTTGATCCCTTAAGAAGTTGCCATGTTCTCTGAGATGTATGTAGATAAAACAATATCTAAAAAAAACACAATATCTATAAAACAAAACATTATATGTTTAGAAAAAAATATATAAATAACATAAAATTAAGATAATAGCATAAACGATATTTTTATTAAGACTATAACATAGATGATTACAACAAGTTGAACATGGCTAAACATCCCTCCAACGATAAGCTACAAGCTATAAAAAGTATAAACATTAAAAAAAAAAAAAAAAAAGAAAAAAAAAAACACGAACACATCGAAATAATGTACTATTTATTCATCTTAGTTTTATTTGCATCTTAAAATTGTTGTTGCTTTATTTTGCTCATTTTTATATTAATTTGCATTGTAATAATTTTTAATAATTACAATATTTACCAATTTTTGTACTATTATTGTTGATCAAATTTTGTTGGAAATTCCTTGAATATTCATACAATTTAAAAGTATAATGAAAATAGTTATATATTACAATAAATATTAATTTTCTAAACACAAATCATTATAATTTTTTTTATAAAGATAAGAATGTAAAATCATGATAATTGAATGAAACAAAAATCAATAAACAAACTCCTAACATCAAAGTAAAGTCAGGTAAATAATGAGTAGTGTTAATGAGCATTATAATGATGAATTAGACGTGGGAAGCAGCAATGATTAAGGTTATAACAGTTGAGAATATCTCATGCAGCCAGGCTACTTCTTTTTTTTTTTTAATTTTTTAATTTTTTAATTTTTTAATTTTTATATTTATTATAATTATTTTTTTTATAATGATTAAAATCCCAATCCCCTGCAGGCTACAACTGATGAATGTGGCAAGTTTCATCAATTAGCATAATATCTAATTTAATTTTTTTTAGTATTTTAATCTTAAAAAAAGGTAGTGCTTTAGATGAAAAAAAAATGGAGGATAGTTTTATTTTTAATTAAATAGAAATTTCTTATTCTAGATACGTAAGTAAAAGCATTTAGAGGGTAGTTGGCTAAGCTTATTTTAAACAGTTGATAAGCTTTTACGTCTGATAAGATGTTTTAAGAGCTAATAAGCTGTTACATCTTATTTTTAGGATTAATTTTTAGAGTGTTTGGATAATAAGCTTATTTCCTATTTTTACTCATTATAAGATCTTAAAAAAAACATGGGGTAGAGGTACTTATTTAAAAAGATCTTATTTGCTCTCCAACAATATTTTTTTAAAAAATAAGATCTTTTTTAAAAAAATTACCAAACACTTTGGAAGAGTTTATAAGCTCTAAAACACCTTATAAGCTCCTTTTAACATCTTATAAGCTTAGTCAAACACCCTTAGTTAACTTAAATTTACGGCTGAAAAATTCACTGAGGGGTGATATTAAAGTCAATTGAAAACACGAGGACTAATTTGAAGATTGGGTGAAAAGTCAAGGATGTAAATTGATGAATTTTGCTCGTTAAGTTCAATTTTTTTTTCCAGATAATAAAGGAATCCGCAACCAATCCTTGAAGACGCACTAGGTAAATCTACATTTTCGTGCAATAGGTCCCAAACCGTACGAGATATATAAACCATACTAGACTAACTACGTGTGACGAGTCAGACGTGAAGCTTAATTTCATTATAAAGACATATAAAGTTATAAATACTATTGGAATAGATTAGCTGAGGAATTAATTTGCATGCAAGTATTGATGAAGAATTCAACGATTTGTTTATTTATTTATTTATATTGTGGAGCAATAATTCAATGAAAATCAATTTTTTTTTTTTATAATAAGGTTGTAGAATGAGTCTGTGGAAGATGGAAGAACAAGTCTTTTTCCAAATTGGAAGCCCTACTACTATAAATGTATTCATATTTATGTAAATTTCGCCACTCTTCTAGAAATCGACACATTAGCCTCTGATTTTAATTGACCCCCCTCTTTAATTTCCATCTTTATTGTTCTTAAAAAAAATGAAAAAAAAGAAGAAGAAGAATTGAATTTCCTTTATTTAAGTTTTTTGTTTATTAATAAAAAAAGTAATCGTCGCTCATATTGCACGCCACTAGGTAACTTCATTCTGGTGTAGTAGTTCGCAAATCACACTAGATTAATCATATCTGATAAATTTGACCTAAATAATACTATCAATACAAATAATATCGCATTATATAGTGTCAATAGGATTCAAATTTTATTCTCCTACAATAACTACATAACTGCTTTTATTGAAGTTATTCACATGATAGCTAGACTAAGCATGTGTGACGAGTTCGGCCTAAAAAATAGTATCAATACGATTCGAACTCAGGTCAAATAATATCACATTGTGTATTTCCAATAGGATTCGAACTTCATTCTCGTGCAATAGCCCCTGAACTGCTTTATTTAAGTTATTCATAGGGTAGCTCAGTAGCGCACAATAAGTTTATGATTTCATTTACCACTTAAGTTTTAACCACATTGGTTTTCCTTTTCTTTATCAAAATTTTCATTATCTTTTAAAAATACATTTTATTAGGGCATTTGAAATAAATTTGTAATTGTTTAAACTTTCAATTGCTATAATGTTGCTTATTTATCATTTTCATTAGGCAAATTAGTATCTATTTTGGTTATAAGAACAATAAGTTCAAATCCTATACCTCTACTTATTATATTATTGTATAAATTAAACTTTTGCTAGGAATTAAGTAACTAGCTAGGTGAAAAGTATTTGCAAAATCATGATTTGGTTAATGTGGTAGCCAGTCATGCAAAAATCATTCCCCTCAGAAAAGTAAAAGGTTGTAATAATTATGCTTTGTTGGTGACATGAGAATTGAGGATTGAGATTAAGGATTTTTCACTAGCATTTGTTTGAAAATAGTAAATATGTTATTTATTTAAAAAGTGATGAAGACTCTTTTATTTCAAATGTTTAGGATATATCAATTCGTTGTAAATACTAAACGTCTTAGCGGCTAATCAAATGCCCCTATTAATCTTGAAATGATTGCATATTTTCGTTGGTTAACGTTCATCTTTATATCTTTATAATGTTTGTATATATAAGAAAGAAACGCTAGGCAAGGCAACCAAAAAACTATACTAACATATTTGTAAAATAATAATAACTAA